TTGCTGTTGGGGGGCCTGGATTGTTACTCTGGCCGCAGGTATTTGGGGTGAAGCAAGGCCAGGGCTGGGGCTCCCAGGGCTCAGCTTACTCCTGGAGAAGGAGGCTCCCCACTGGGACCACAGCAGCCCAGCCTTGCCCCCCACCTTCGGGTCAGAAGTCTCTTTCCCAAGGGCAGCTACTGCCAGATTCCTTAGCATGAGCACGAGCACGAGCCTCTGTGGGTGATGTCAACGTTTGCAGAAGAAAATAAAGCTCCTGACTAATATTTGGTGAATGCTTAGTACATGGGGGCACTTCGTGTGGCCAGATGATGTCCTGGGAGCAGCAACTCAGCCGCCGTTCCTGTCGTCTTAACTGTGAAATGGAAAGAGCCTGATTCATGCGCTATTTTGAGGTTAAGAGGCTTCGCGTAAATGCTTAGACAGTACCGAGCACATAGCAGGTGCTCAGCGAAAGTTAGACATGATCGTTATTAATAGTGCTTTTCACTGCTGGAAATACCTAATTTGTTTGCTAGTTTGTTAAGCACAACCTATGGGAGTAGAGATTGTATGTCTTGTGTTCCCAATGGCTAAGAAAGAATCCGTCATGCAGTAGACATTTAATAAATATATTTGATGAAAGCGTGAACTGAGTAATAAAAGATATTATGGATTTCCAGCATGAAGGGGTGAGGAGGTCAACAAACGTTCTCCTCAAAATGCAACTATAAAGCTGGAAAGAACTATCAGAAACAACCATTTTAGTGCTCTGAAATTCAACCCAAGGCACACAACAAACCGAAAAGAGTTCATTCATTAAAAATACTGAACTTCAGGATAAAATCCAAAACTACTTGGCATAAAAGCACCAGGAAAACGCAACACAGTGGAAACAACGTAGCAAACACAGCACTGAGAAGCCCAGATGCTGGCTGATCTGACAAAGGCTTTAAAGCCGCTGTTGTAAAAATGCGCCCACAAGCGATTGTGAGTACTCGCATCAGATGACGGGGAAGGAGCTCTGGCAAAACCCAATATCCATTCATGGTAACGACTCAGCAAGTGAGAAAGAGAAAAGAAGGTCTTCAATCTAAGACAGAGCACTGATGGAGAAGTGACAGCAAGCACTTCCAGCATTGTGCACGATGGAGAAAGACCACGTCTTTCCTCTGGGACCGGGGACAAGGCGGGGATGTCTACTCTTGTTGAAATTATTCAACACCTGCTGGACGTCTTAGGACAATAGGGCAAGAAACAGAAACAAAAGGATTGACAATAAGAAATAAATCCATCCCTGTCCACAGACAGCACGATGGTCTGTCATCAAGGAGCCCACAAAAAAGCTGATTGAAGAATAAACGCAGTGAGAAGGATGCACGGTCAGTCAGTCGTCTGTCTATATGCTAGCAATTTACAGCTGGAAACAGACATTTCAAAAAATACTGTTTATAATAGATACCCTCTGTCCATGAAACACTTAGGTATAAGCCTAGCAAAATGTTTATGTATGTCAAAAATAAACTGCTAATGAAAGAGACCAAAGAAGATTAAGTAAACAGAGACTCAACACAGTAAAGACGTCCATTCCCTGCAAATCGATGTCTAGACCTAATGCGTGCGGATAACGACTCCAGCAAGATTTCTGAAGATCTAGATGAGCGGATCCCAAAATTAGTGTGTGAAGACAAATGAGCTATAATAACTGAAACATTTTTGGAAAATAAGAATATAGCGAAATTGCAGTACCCAAGTCCTTTCATTGAGGGTAAAATTCCCATGCCAATGATTTAGCACATTCACAGCGTTGCACCACCATCCCCCGCTCCTCTCCCTTCGCGGCCCCCGCCCCCCGCCCCGCGACCACTAACCTGCCTTCAGTCTCCGTGGAATCAGACCGTGTGTGGTCTCCTGTGTCTGGCCTCTTTCCCTCAGCCTGGTGTTGTCAAGGCTCATCCACACTGTACCATGGCTCAGTACTTTCTCTTTTTCATAAAAATTTATACTGTGGGAAAATACACATAACAAAATTTACCACCTCAACCATTTTTCATCGTGTGGTTCCATGGCATTAAATGCGCTCCCAACGTTGTGGGGCCCTCACCGCCACCTGCCTCCATGCGCGCTCATCCTGTGGAACTGAGACCCTGTCCCCGTTAACACTAACACACCCCCTGACCCCCGTTTCCCCTCATCCCCCTGACTTTGGCCTCAGTACCTCCTGCGGGTGGAGCCACGTGTGGAGCCACGTGGTAGTAGTCTTGCCGTGGCTGGCGCACTCACTGGGCAGGGCGCCCTCGCACTCCCTCCGTCTTTATCACCTTTCCTTCCTCGGGCTTAGGGTTTAGCTTGTGCTTGTCTTTCTAGTTCCTTAAGTCTGAATGTTACCGTGTTGACAGGAGACTTTTCTTTTTTATTTATTTATTCATTTATTGAGAGAGAGAGAATGATAGAGAGCATGAGAAGGGGGAGGGTCAGAGGGAGAAGCAGACTCCCCGCTGAGCGGGGAGCCCGATGCGGGACTCGATCCCGGGACTCCAGGATCATGCCCTGAGCCCAAGGCAGTCGCTCAACCAACTGAGCCACCCAGGCGCCCGACAGGAGACTTTTCTCGTGCTTTCACCTCTGTTTATCGCCATAAATATCCTCCTCGGCACTACTTTTGCTGCATCTCGTAAGTTCCGATAGGTTCTGTTTTCCTTTTCTCTCATATCCAAGTGTCTTCTGAGATTCCTGTGGCTTCCCCTTTAAGAGTGTGTTGTCTAATTTCTACAAACTTGAAAATTTCCCAGTGTTACCTCTGCTACTGCTTTCTAACTTCATCCTATTGTGGCTCAAGAAGATCCTTCGTGGAAATATCTTTTACAGTCCACTGCGACTTAATCTGTGGCCTGACATCTGGTCTCTGCTGGAGACCGTCCCAGGTGTCCTGCAGGTGCCGCTGGGTGGCGTGTTCCGTGTGCGTCTCCGACCTGCTTGGTTTGTGGTGTGAAGTCCTCTGTTTCTTTACTTACTTCGTCTGCTTGTCCCACTCATCATGGCCGATGTCTCCAACTGTTGCTGTAGAAATGTTTGCTTCTCCCTTCAGTTCTGTCGGTTTTGCTTCCTACATTTTGATGATCCGTTATTAGGTACGTAGCGAGTAATTACACTGAACATCGTTTCATGCGCCTATCGACTGTTTGCAGATCTACTTTGGATAAATGTTTATTCAGATCCTTTGCCCATTTTTAAATTGAGTTGTGTGCCTGTTTGTTATTGAGTTGTGAGAGTTCCTTATATTTGCTGGATACTAGGCCCTTTTCCAATGTGATTTGTAAAAATTTTCTCCCATTCTGTATGTTGTGTTTTCACTTTCTTGTGTCCTTTTTTGCACAAAAGTTAAAATTTTGATGAAGTCCAGTTTGCTTATTTTTTCTTTTGCTGCCCATGTATTTGGTGCCACATCTAAGAAACCACTGCCAAATCCAAGGTCTTGGAGACATACACCCACGTTTTCTTCTAACAGTTTTATAGTTTCATTGGACCTTTGATCCATTTTGAATTAATTTTCATATTTGGCATGAAGTAGGGGTCTAGATTCACTCTCCCTCATGGGTTTCCTAGTCACCATCCGGTCCTTCCACCATTGTTGGAGAGACCGTTCTTCCCACACACTGTCTGTGTTTAGCAATTGTTATAAAACTACAACAATAAGGTCAGAGTGGTCTTGGTAAAGAGATGGACACATAAATCAATGTGACAGAACCTTGTGCAGAAACAGCCCTCCCACGCACATGTCCAGCTGTGTTTTGAGAAGATGCAAAAGCAATTCAACAGAGAAAATATCATCTTTTCAATAAGTGGTGCTGGGAGAATTGGACGTCCTTATGGAAGAATAATAAAACTTGACCTAAATCTCATATCTTACACAAAAATTAACTCAAAATGGGTAATGCATCTAAATGTGAAATGTAGGGACACCTGGGTGGCTCAGCTGGTTAAGCATGTGCCTTTGGCTCAGGTTGTGATCCCAGGGTCTTGGCTCAGTGGGGACCCTGCTTCTCCCTCTCCCTCTGTCCCTCCCCTGACTTTCTCTCTCAAACAAATAAATAAAATAAATAAAATCTTCAAAAAAAGTGAAATGTAGAACTATACAACTTTAGAGGAAAATATGGGAGGAAATTTTTGTGATCTGGGTTTAGCTGATGACAAAAGCATGAAAAGCATGATCCATATAAGAAAAATATGGATGCACTGGACTTCATCAAAATTGAAAATTCCTGTTCTGTGGAATGACACCATTAAGAGAAAAAAAGACAAGCACAGACAGGGAGAAAATATTTGCAAACTGAATATCTAACAAAGAGTTTTTATCCAGAATACATGAAGAACTCTCAAAACTCAACACTGAGAATATACAACCCAATTAAAAATTGGGCTAAGAATCTGAATAGACATTTCTCTGAAGAAGATACATATACGGCCAATAAATGCATGAAAGAGTGCCCAACATCATTGGTTTTAGGGAAATGCAAATCAAACCCACAATGAGATGCCATTTTATGCTCATAGAATAACTGTAATCAAAGAGACAGACAGGGGCGCCTGGGTGGCTCAGTCGGTTAAGCGACCGACTCTTTGTTTTGGCTCAGGTTCTGACCTCAGGGTCATGGGATTGAGCCCCGCATTGGGCTCCGCGCTCAGTGGGGAGACTCCTTGAGATTCTCTCCCTCTGCCCCTCCCCTCAAATAAATAAGTAAATCTTAAAAAAAAAAAAAAAAAGACTGACAGTAACCAGTGCTGGTGAGGGTGAGGAGACACTGGAACCCTCTGGTGTTGCTTCAGGAAGCAAGATGGTGCAGCTGCTGTTGAAGACAGTCTGGCTGTTCCTTGAAAGGTTGGGAATGCTCGCCCGGCAGTTTTACTCTTAGACACCTACCCCGGATGAATGAAAACGTACGTCCACAAAGCAAACACGGACATGAGTGTTCACAGCAGCATCCAAATGTCCATCATCTGGTGAAAGATGAACACAATGTGGTATAACTAACCAACGAGGTATCATCTGGCAATTAAAACAGGGAATGAGGGCGCCTGGGTGGCTCAGTTGGTTGGGCGACTGCCTTTGGCTCAGGTCATGATCCTGGAGTCCCGGGATCGAGTCCCGCATTGGGCTCCCTGCTCGGCGGGTAGTCTGCTTCTCCCTCTGACCCTCTTCCCTCTCATGCTCTCTCTCTCTCTATCTCATTCTCTCTCTCAACTAAATAAATAAAATCTTAAAAAAAAAACAGGGAATGAGGTGCTGATACACACGGCAGCATGGGAGGGCCTTGAACACGTGCAAGGGAGCTGGCCGTGAATGACCACACATCGTGTGACTCCATCTATATGGAATGTCTAACACGGACAAATCCAAAGACCCAGAGTGGGGTTGGTTTAAGGTATAGGGGAGGGATGGGAGTGGTCACCACATGGTACAAGGTTTCTTGTGGGGTGATGAAAATGTCCTAAAAGTGGTTTATGGTGATGGTCGCACAACTCCAAATATACCAAAAGCCACCGAATTATACATTTTAAATGGATGCACTTTGTGGTATGTAGATGATATCTTGATAAGGCTGTTTTTTTTTTTAAGGGATAAAGACCTGAACAGAACTTCACGAAAGAGGACACGCCCATCAGCAGATGGGAAGCTCTTCAGTGTCATCAGCCATCAGAGAAATGCAAGCTAAACCCTCAACAAGATGGCATGACACACCCACAAGAACGGCTGAAAGGACCATCCAACCAGCAGTTCCAAGGGCTACTGAGGATACGGAGCACCTGGGGCTCACACACCCTGCTGTGGGCATGCAGGACGGGACCGTGGTCTGGAGGTGGGCTTGGCAGTTTCTGGGAAGGTTAAACATTCACCTGCCGCATGACCCAGCAGCCCCACTCCTGCCATTTGTCCCAGAGAAACCCAAACATGTTCATACAAAAACTTGTGTACAAAGGCCGATGGCAGCTTTATTCCTAACTGCACAAACTGCAAACAACCCAGATGTCATTCAGGGGAGGAGTGGAGAAGTAAACTGAGGTCCATCCACACCTGGAATACTCTTCACTGACAAAAAGGGATGAATGGTTGACACACAACCACCCAGATGAATCTCAGATGTTATGCTGAGGGCAGGAAGCCCCGCCCAGAAGGCAGGTAGCATACGGTTCTGTCTCCATGCTGGTCTCACGACAGTGCTCACCTGGCGGAGGACAGATCAGCGCTGTGAGAGGTCGAGTACAGCCGGAGGGCAAGAGAGAGGGTTTTGGGGGATGGATCACTCTGGGTCCTGGTCGATGTAGCTATAGGAATCTGGATATGTGCTAACACTCATGTCACTGTATACTTCCCAAGGAGTCAGTTTTCTGGATAACAGTTTAAAAAGACCAAAAAAAATTTTTTTAAACATTTTATTTATCTATTTGGCAGCATGAGTGGGGAGGTTGGGGAGAGGGAGAAGAAGACTCCCCGCGGAGCAGAGAACCCCACACAGGGCTCCTTCCCAGGACCCTGGGATCATGACCTGAGCTGAAGGCAGACATGTAACCGACTGAGCCACCCAGGTGCCCCTAAAAAAAAAATTTAAAAAGCAGAAACATCATAGTAGAAATTGATTCAGGTAAGAGTCATCAGTGAGTGCTAGGCTGAGAGAGGGATTTTGAAGAGGAACAGGATATTTATAGAACCCAAGGTACATCCCCATTAATTAGCTAATAATTACAAAGGGAAAATATAAGTTTACTATAGAAAAAGCTAGTGGCCACACCCTTCCCTGGGTGACGCAGGATGACATCAGCACAAACAAGCAAACTGATGTCAGGCAGCTTCCCTTCGGATGCACTGGGAGGAATCCATGTTGCTCTGCTGGTATTCTGCGCAGAAAACAAAACTTGAATTTCTGGTGCAGAAACATCAGAAAAGCCAAGAGAGGGCCATCTTCAAAACACCTGGCCTGAGTTCTTAAAACATATCAGTGTCACAAAAGACACACATGGCAGAGGGGCTATTTCCAATGAAAGGGGACGGGACATGCATGTGAAAGCAGCGTGTGGTCCTGGAGGGGAAAACAGAGCTCCGGGCCGCGCCACCGGCACAGGGGGCACCATCGGGACCGGGACTGGGAACTGAAGTGTGTAGGAAATACACACTCGGGGGGCGCCTGGGTGGCTCAGTCGTTAAGCGTCTGCCTTCAGCTCGGGTCATGATTCCAGGTCCTGGGATCGAGCCCCGCATCGGGGTCCCTGCTCGGCGGGAAGCCTGCTTCTCCCTCTCCCACTCCCCCTGCTTGTGTTCCCTCTCTCGCTGTGCCTCTCTCTGTCAAATAAATAAATAAAATCTTAAAAAAAAAAAAAAGGAAATACATACTCGGGGGCTGAGGAACAAAGGCAGTGACTTAAGCAACCCAGGTGGTTCAGAAAAAAGAGTATGTGTAGACCCAGAGAGAGAGAGAGAGAGGGAGAGAGGGAGTCACCACACGGGTGCGTAGACATCGACGCTCGGCGGGTGTAGGCGAAGGCAACGGTTGGGACACCTACTCCGGCAGCTTTTCTCCAAGTCTGAAATTTTCAGCATAAAAAATGGACATGTGTTACTTCTGCTTCCGCTTCCGACCACAGAGCAGTGGCAGGTAGCCCCGCCTCCGTGAGCAGCTGTGGACCCAGATGGCAGGCCCACGGGTGGGTCACTGCTCCAGGCAGAAGGCGGAGGGAAGTGGGCTCAGAGGCAGGTGCGCGGGCCGCTGACATGTGGGGAGCTGCTTGGCGCATGGAAGTGCATGGGCTGTGGCTCGAGGCTGTGGCTTAGGCTGGGGGAGGCTGCTGGAGACTTCCCAGACGGCGGATTCTGTGGCCTCCACACTAGTATCTATTGCTGCATAACAAATTACCACAGATTCAAGGACTTTATAAAATATGTGTTTATTACACATACCTGGCTCTCGGGTCAGGAGTCCAGGCACGGCTTAACTGGGGCCTCTGCTCAGGGTTTTGAAAGGGAGCAGTCAGGCTATCGGGGTCCTTCTGAGGCTTGGGGTCCCCTTCTAAGGTCACATGGCGGTAGGACTCAGGTCCCCACTTCCTTTTGATGGACAGCTGGAGGCCATTCTCGGCTCTCAGGGGCTGCCCACAGTCTTCTGACGTGTGGCCCCTTACTGGCCTTCCCCCGTCCTGGCAGCTCACTTCTTCAAGGCTGGTAGGAGAGTCCCTTGCTCTGGTCTATCTGCCAAGACAGAGTCTTAAATAACGGAGGCCAATCAAGGGAGTCAAGGCTCACCACCTTTGTCATATTCTATCGGCTAGATGCAAGCCACAGCTTCCTTCTGCACTCACGGGGAAGAAATTTTTCCAGGGCATGGATCCTGGGGGGACAATTAGGTTATGTCTATCATGGGCTGAGATCGGAACCAAAATACCCAAAGACAACCATGCTGGGCAGCACTGGTGTTTGGACCCAGCTAGGATGGAGAGACCTTTGGATTTATGTTTTTTTGTTTTTAATTTTTTTTGACAGAGAGAGACACAGCAAGAGCAGGAACACAAGCAGGGGGAGTGGGAGAGGGAGAAGCAGGCTTCCCGTGGAGCAGGGAGCCCGATGCGGGGCTCGATCCCAGGACCCTGGGATCACGACCTGAGCCGAAGGCAGACGCCTAACGACTGAGCCGCCCAGGAGTCCCTGGATTTATGTTTTTAAGAGAAAAGACTACAGGGGTGCCTGGCTGGCTCAGTCATGGAGCATGTGATTCTTGATTCCAGGGTCTTGAGTTCAAGCCCCACATTGGGTGCAGAGATTACTTAAATAAATAAAAACTTAAAAAAAGAGAGAGAGAAAAGACTACAACCTACAGTAATGTCTAGTCTAGGACCATCTAAGAAACGTTAAAGCTGAGCCCCACGAAGAGCTGGGGACCAAGACTGAAAGTTGAATCTTATCAATCTGAGGGGCTTGGAAGACCTGCGGGGTGTTCTGCAGACCAGCACGAAAGCATGAAAACAAGCCCCACAGGTCCAGTGATCGAATGGCTGCTAAAACAAGAACCAACAGTCCTCAGAGGAAGAGAACAGGATCCAGAGTCTTCAGACTTCAGCCAAAAATTACTGGATGTGCAAAGAAATAGGAAAATTTCCTTATAGTCAAAGAAAAAAAAGCCAGGTATCAATTTTCTCTCAGCTATAAGTTCATCCTTCATTGCCTGCCCTACAAAATGCATCTGCTCCCCATAAAGTAGAAATGCTCAACGTTGTCCATCAGCACAGGGCAGGGATTGAGCCTAGAGGCAGTAAGCGAATGACTGGAGGAACACACACAGCCAGTGGCTCAGAGCTCCACCCCTGGGGTATACTTGCACAAGTGCATCCACCGGGGCGGACAGATGGCTTTGTGGCAGTTCGAACTTAGAAATGGAACGCTACCGAGCAGTGAAGACGAACACAGCACAGAGGACTGTCTCAAACTTGGGGGCCTGCGAGAGAAGCTGGACACAAGGATCCAAACTGCACAGACCATGCCTATGAAGTTTGCAAGCAGACGATGTGATCTGTGGTCTAGGAAGTCAGGACGGTGGTCACCTTGGAGGGCATGAGGGGGTGTTTATTTCTTGATCTGGGTGGTCAGGTACATTGGTCATTCATGCACTTGTCTCTAAGTATTCCCAAGGACAGTCCCCCTGGCCTCCTCCCCAGACAAGGGCCAGCCTCCTCGGTCTGGCCGGTGTGTGTTTCCTGGGGAAGGGGAGGCTCTGGGCTTCTGCCACTGATAGGGAGAATGATGCCACCCACAGGCTCCTGTGCAGTCACCCCTAGGACACCCAGGAGGCCTCCTGCTCTGTGGGCAGGTTATTCCCAATCGCCCAGTGCGGGGATGCTCTATCTACGAGATGAAAACATCGGGTCCAGAGTTGTTAAGGAGCTTCAGGCTCCCCAGGGCAGTCCCACCTGGAGACGCTCCTCCTTGAACTGAGCACTGTGGCCTCTCCCTCCACCACCTGAGGAGTGGGCGGTGGGCCTGCAGACCCTCCCCAGCTTCTCCCTCTGTCTCTCTGTCCCACCACAGAGAGGCTGGCCACTCTCCTGGGCTCTCCAGGGGCCCCACAGCCTGCGGTGGACCTCATGGGAGGGCCTGGCCACTCCCTCCTCCTGCTGCTAGGCTGGAGCCCAGGACTCTCCCAGAGCTCAGAAGGCAAAGCCCACCAGACCCCTTCCCCGGAAGTAGGTGGGCGCTGGGCAGGGGTCGAGCTCTGGAGTTGGCAGGACGCTGTCCTTCCAAGCACAGGTGACAGTAACCCGCTCCAGCCAGCTGCGCTCTGTCACCATGGCAACAGGTCCTGCTGCGCTGGGCGGGTACCCGTGGGGCCACAGACAGTTCTTGTCGCCCAAGTGCTGGCGGTGGAGAGGGCAGGACGGGCTGATCTTTCCCTTCTCTGAGGGGCTCCATCCGTCTTCCTGGGCTTCCCCGGCACACTGAGGTCGGCCTCATACCCTCCCAGACTCGCTGGGTTTCCTAGGGTGGCCTGGTGGGGGCCTGGATTGTCTAGGAAGTCACCAGCGCCCCGTGGTACTTGACCCAGGGACCAAGCACTGTCCTGGCCGTTTGGTGGGGCCCTTGCCTAACCTTGGGGTCTAGCTGGGGTGCAAGCGGCTCGCCCGCCGCCCCCCTCTCCAGCCCTGGCCCCGCCTCCAGGCCACGCCGCTTGGGCTCAGCCCCGCCCCCCCGCCCCCGGAGGCGGGGGCGGGAGGGCGGTGCGGGGGGGGGGGGGGGGGTGCGGGGGGGGGGGTGGGGGGGGGGGGGGCGGGGGGGGGGACCTCTCTGATTTGGGGCCGTGATCTTACTTTCCTGAGGGAAGCTCAACAGCCAAGAGTGCCTCCTCACCATGGAGAAGACTTGAGTTGCGTCCTCCTCACGGGCCGCTCAGTTCCCGGGCTGGGAGCGGGAAGGGGGGGGGAGGAATTTGTCCCCAAGGCCGTCCTGGGTCGTGCTGCCCAGGTAGCTGGGAGATGAGATGAGACTGACTGACCCCACACGGGAGGGTGAGCACGGAAGTCCTGGGGTCAGAGGGAAGCCTGGCACCCCAGGCCAGGAGTTGAGGTCATTCTGAGACCCCTCTAAGGCTGGAGGGTGCTCTCAGCCCTGCCCCCCACCCTGCCCCCAAGCCACTGCCTGGGCAGCAGCTACCAGGGTGACCACTGGCCTTGGCCCCCACAGGAAGGCACAGCACAGGTGGTCAGTTATGCATTTGCAGGTTATTATTAACCAGGCAGTGACATCACCGGCAGCCAATAGGAGCAGGGTTTATTTCCAGGCTGACAGCTTGATAACGGTTAATTTTAGCTGGATCTTCTTTCCCCAGCCTCATGAAACCTCAGCCAGCCAAAGAGGGGGTTGCCTGTGTCTCCCCAAACAGCTCATGGCTGGGGGCACCTGGGGGCGTCGGGAGGGACTAAGGGGGCAGGCCCGTACCCCTTCCTCCTGCCCTACTCCTCAGAAGGTGGGCTGTGAGGCTGCACCAGGCTGATGGGCCTCTTCTTTGCTCAGCCCACCCCCCCAACACACACACCCATACCCCCGGTTGCTATGGGGGCCATTGTGACAGGTGGCTCAGATTTGGGAGGCAGGCAAGGGGAAGGGGGAGGGGAGGAGCACACAGGTGGGACCCAGTTGGCTTCTGTCCAGACGTAACACGGGCCTGGCTCAGGCCTTCTGAGCTGACTGTAAGTTCTGCCCTCCTTGGCCGTGACCTTGGGCACGGTGGTTTGCCTGTCTGTGTCCGCTGGACTCTTGGTCAATGGGTGCTTGGCGGCCTGGTAGCCCCACCCAGCGCTTGGTGAACTCGCAGTGCTTGGTGACTGGGATTCTGTAGTATTCAGTATTCAGCACTAGTCATTGACCAGTAGTTACTAAGTACTATGCAGTAGGTGGTACTTGTTAGTTTTCAGGGCTATGCAGTGGTTAGGGCTTCTTTAACACTGTTGGCATGTTATTATTCAGCATTATACCTTATTTACTCTCATGTCCAAGTGAACTCGAGTATCTCCGGGTGGTGGCGGCCGAGGGGCCAGGCCCCCAGGGCCCTGCAAGGCAGCCCAGCTGCCGGTGGATGGGGCACATCCTGGGGACACAGAGGCACTTTGGAGAAACCACCTGAGACCCCCGCCGGGGGCCGGCATGCTGGACCTTCAGGGAGGATGCTGCATTCCACCAGCAGTGGCCACCGCCCTGGGCAGCATGGCCTCCTGGCACAGCTTAGCCCCAGGGTGACTTAGTTCCCATGGGGCTGACAGCAGTGGGTGAGCCAGGAGCGGCTGGGTGCAGCTCAGACTTGCTGGGGGGCTGGTCTGCAGGCAGCCCAGGGTCCTGGGTGCTGGTGGCCTCTCTGGGGAAGTTGGGGTGGACGTCCCCAGGGACCTGGGCCTCCTGCAGTGGTTTGGCCCATCCCAGCTTCATCCGATCCCAGTGTCTCCCAAATCCCTGCTAACCTTCAGGCAGGAGGGATGCATCAAATATAGAGGGCAGCTGGATGGGGGTGGGGTGGGTCTCCATTGCTTGCCAGGAGTTTATTTTTAATCCTGGCTCCTGTTTGAT